ATCCCACGGCCACCAAGAACATGGGTGTCATCGCGGAGGGGTTGTGGCTTCAGACGGAAGAAGTAACGAAAGAGAGAAAGAAGGAGGAATTCCAAGAAAAGTTTCACAAAGATGAACAAAAACAAAAAGATGAAGGACAACATTGGGAGCAAGATGGTTCAAGCTAATCCCAAAATAATTGAGAAATTGATGAAGAAAAGCAGAAGCAGGAAGGCAGAGTCCAGCACGGATAAAGGAGATAAAAAGAACAATCTCACCAGGACCTAGAGTTGGGACCCGATGCTGGCCTGGAGCTTTCCAATCAGGAAACTCCTTGCCCTAGATCAGACCATCACTGACAAGCTCGCGCAACTGATCCTCAGTCGTAGTCGGAGCCGGCCAGATCTTCTGAGCAGCCCTCATGGCCATAAATTCTTGATTTTCAATCACAAAAAGCAATGCCTCCTCGTCTACAAAGGTTGCCTGGGACTTGCTCGCTGATTTTCTCCTACCCATATACTAGCGAAAGCAATAAAGCACTAAGAAACGATGATGATCAGACGGCGGTGCTCAGATGACGGTGACAATGGCGACGGCGGAGTTTTGAAGACTAGGGTTTCAAGGCAAAAGCAGGGCAACAAAGAAAAAGAAGAAGAAAGGCCTTTAAATAGGTTTTACAGCAATAGAAACACGGCCCACCAGACCCATTTAAACACGGCATGAGAACGCAATGATCCATTTCTCACCACAATTGACACAGCTAAAATGACAGACGGCACACTTCTACACAAAGGTACAATTCAACGGGCAGATTTTAGACTTATCCATCCAGCACCACGGTAGAGTTATCATATTGCTACAAAAAGAACTCATCAACTATGAAGCAACGAAGGGTTACCTCACAAGGAACATAAGAACCCGGTTCTTATAGAAAGAACTCAGGAATCTCATAAACAACCAGGACATCAGTAGAAAAAAGAATGACAACTCAGAAGACAATATTCTTTCCATCATAAATGGCTTCAAAAAATATAAGATTACACATCTTACAAGACCCAACGAACTCGGTAATACGACAAGCAAGGTAGCAAAAAGGAACCCGGACACAACTAGGCTCTGGAACGACTACGTGTTCCAAATTGCTATTCGGTAGAACAAACCGCACTCGGCTACACTTTTTCTTCAAAGGATGAACACAGTACATCCAAGGCGGAAATCAGCAGCACGACAGGGCAACATGGACCGGGGGAGGCTGCTAGGCATCTGTCTACCCAAGCCCGACGTGATGTAGGATCAGGTGTTCATCTGCACCAGACAGTCACAGGGCAGACGAGGAGGATCAACCCAGAACTGCCGGATGAAGGAACGTATCCCACATCACAAGACTTCCTCCAACTACCGCCACGTACTTCCTGGTACAATGCCGCTGTGAGATTAGTCTACCTCTAATCCTTATCACAAGACTCCCTCCAGCTACAATAAGATATACAAGAACTATAAAATACGTCCGGGGGCTGATCTACTTCACAAACTATCATATTCATGACTACAGAGATTTCGAACCACGCAACAAAATGCTCGATGAATCAAAACAGCACACCAGGAAGGTATTTATAGACCAAAGAAGCGGTGCACATGGACCGGGAGCACCAACGGAACAAACCTAACAAAGGACACAGTGAAAAGACAGAATTCAATGAAAGAGGACTCAGGCGTGAAGTAACGGTACTCAAGAACGAGCATATTCGGAAGAATATACCAACATTGTACAACTCTTGAACAATCAACATTTACACTCAACCACCACCATACAACTACATCTAACAACAGTAGACTACCAGAGAATATGCCAAGATCTTGTATCCGAGTTCTTTTTGAATAAAAGAACCCAGATATATGCTCGGGGGCTGCAACAGGAGAGGTTTTTAATTCTTTGAACAACTCAGATTCAAAACCCTCCAACTTTTTGTTCCAAATATCAAGAGGCTTGGGGGCTACACTCAGTGAGTGCACTTTTTCTTCAAAAAAGCGCACATCACTCAGAAGACTTCTTCAAGACAGGATTTTTCAAACAACATAAGATTCAAGACCCTCCAGCTCCTTGTTCCAAATAGCAAGAGGCTCGGGGGCTACACTCAGTGAGTGCACTTTTTTCTTCGAAAAAGCGCACGTCACCAAGAAGACTTCTTCAAGACAGACCATTTCAAGGCCTCGTGATGAAAAGAACCCGGACCGAGCTATATCCGAGTTCTTTTTGATAAAGAACCTGGGTATATGCTCGGGAGCCTTTCGACGAAGAATCGGAGCAATTTCAAGACAAGACCCTCCAACTCCTTATTTTCAAATAGCAAGAGGCTCGGGGGCTACACCCAGATGGGAGTACTTTTTCTTAAAAAAAAGTACACACCACCCGAAGATCTCATGAAGCGCTACACGATTTCGCTCAAGAAAGCACTCGGACGACGCTTGATCCTACTCGGCAAGACCTGAAGGGACAAGACGAGGCTTCAGAACTCAACCATGAAGTGCTCGGGGGCTTGTCGGTGCGGGACCCACAGGATACCCCGCAAGGAAGGGAGAAGATCTAGTCCAACTAAGATTCTTCCCGTGTAATCTTAGTAGTAGTATTATTCTATAATCCTACTAGAAACTCTTATTGTAAACCGACTAGGACTCTAGCCTCCTGACTATATAGAGGAGGGCACGGTTCCTAGAGACAAGACTTTGACAATCAATCCAACGCAAAGGCTAATGCCGACTGGACGTAGGGCTATTACTCGATCACGATCGAGGGTCCGAACCAGGATAAATCGACTGTCTCTTCCGTTTACCATCGAGTTCTGCATACGTTGAAACCCGAACAAACTGCCCCGGATACCCCCATGGTAGGATATCGGTGGTGAAACATCGACACTTCCCTCGACCACGGCCGGTCCCGGCCTTAATGGCACCGCAGAGGGGAAACTCCAAATTAGAGAACGTCGTGACACAATCCAAGGAAAAGACACGAGCACGAGAGATTTAAGGCAAGCTCCCGCGCTCTGGCTCACCGAGGTCACGACTTGACCGCGACGAGAAATAGGGGAGGGCACAGCAGTGGAACAACGACGAGTAGTGACGCTATTTGGCGCTTTTAGCGGGACACGGCATCGCAACTAACTAGGTACACACACAAGCGGCGATTTAACATAAACGACCACGACTGGCTCTGGCCCGCGTGTTGCAGCGCCTTTAATGGTGGGCCAACGGCGCTACAAGGCGACATCCCACGTGCGCAGCAGCAAGGCAGCAACGATGCGGTGCAGGAGCACATGGCGGTGCGATGGCGGCGACGCGAGCGTAGTGGCGTGTGTGTGTGTGCAGTGGTGATGGGGCGGCGGCGGCGACATCACGTGGTGGTGGGCCAGTGTGGTGTAGGGCGCTAGCGGCGGCAGCAGCGGCTAACGAGCGCGTGGCCATGTCGAGGCGAAGAAGGCGATGAAGGTGGTGGTGCTATGCCGCTGCGGCAGAATACACTTCAAGCGGCGGCAAGCACTAGTGGCAAAGCGAGCGGCGGCGCAGAACAGGTGGCGTGTGCAGCCATAGTGGCACCGGCAGCGGTGCCAACAACAGTGTGCATCACAGCAGGCGCGCGGTGACCATGCACACTCGGCTAACTGGCCCAAAACACGTTGTGCACGCTTTTTAAAGCATCAACCACGACCCATCTAGATTGGTTATGACCCAACCCACTCATCCGAGCTGAAGATGGTACCTAGAGCTACTGAATGGAGCAACATACTAGGACCAAGGTAGACTAGAAAAGAACATATGAGTATGCCAAGTGGAGGCTGTCAACCGACACCCAAACAACATTTTCTAGCTTTTTTAGCAATTAATTGATGATCAAAGCACATAGTAACTAAACCAACCCTTATACCATTGACAAGTACTTACTTGGATGCAACCCACCAAGCTAAAAATATAGCACAAGCCTTTAGCTAAATTTTTCAGAATTAATTCACTAATATAGCATTGTCACACCGCTTTCAACTTTAAAAATTTGCTAAGTCTTGGGCTGAATTTTAGTCCAAGTTCTATTTCTAAGCTATTAGAAATACTATCTAACAATAATAATTTTCAACAAGTATTTCATTGCCATCTACAAAGTTTATACTCTCAACTTTCTTTAAGTGTCACATACATGTTTCATAGCATTTTTGCTTAATAAAAATTAATTTTCAATCTTAAGTGACATAACATGACTATTGAATTAACTTTCGTTTCACATTCTAGTCGATCGTTTCGAGTTATAGAAATTGATCTACACACTTTATTACATGCATTAACACGTAAACATGATGCTCATGACATGTTTTAGTAAATGATTTATAGTGTAACACCGAGAGTGTTACACGGGCGAGACGCAGTGGCACGAGGCACGAGGCTTGTCTAGTGTGACCGTGCTGCAGGGGCGCACGGCGCGAGGCGGGGGCCCAGGGGCACGAGGCGCACGAGGTGCGAGGTGGGTCTGGTGCAACCGTGTGAGGCGTGAGGGTTTTTTTTTAGGAAATTGCGAGGCGTGAGGTGCAGGGGCGTGATGCAGAAGGCGTCCGTCCCATCCGCACGGACAGAGCATTACCTTTTTTTTTTACAACACACGTATTGATTGCTGATTTTTACGTTCCGCGTGTAATATTGTGCCAACGGGTTGAGTTGGTTTGTTGGGCTGGACGCGCCAACGGGTTGAGTTGGTTTCTAGGCCGTAATATTGTGCTGCCCATTGACACGAATGTGAAAGAAATTGGGCCACTCTAGTATTAATTGCGCCCAGCTATTACTTTCTGGGCCATCTGAGGAATACCTCCAACAATCACGGCCCATCTCGCCTCACAGAACCGGCCGCTGCTCTGCTAAAACCAACAGGATAATAAAAAGAGAGATAGACGGATAGGACAAGCGTGGACCGCGCCACCCCGCAGTTCTCGACCGTTGCGCCGCCGCAGCAACTCGCCTCGCCGGCGGCCGCGCGCCCACCGACAATGGCAGCAACCGCCGCCGCCCACCACCTGCCCGTTGTGCCGCACCGCCTTGCCCCGATGCGGCAAATCAGCAGCAGCCCGCCGCCGCCGCATCCGGCCTCTCGCTGCTCCGCCACGGGGAAGCTGCCCGTCCAGCTCCATGCGGCGCCGGCGAGGGCAGAGCGGGCGTATGGGTTCGCCACACGCGTCGCGTTCAACCCCTCCGGCAACTACGACCTCTCCCTCTCCATGGGCCAAGACGGTGATTTTTTTTTTTCCTTTTCCACTCCCACTAATCAATCAACGGCCAACTGATCCTCTCTGAATGTACTACTAGTACTGAACAAAGTGATGCCGTCAGGTAAAAAAAAAATCAACTAATCAATCGTCTGAAGTGAACTGAGAACAGAAGTAGATGATGCTTTCTCCTGATTCACCCGTTTCAGTGCATCTGAAATCGACTGAATGCTGAAAGGGCTAACTAGTAGGAGTAGCGATTTTCTTCAGATTTTCGTGTTCAGTTACGTTTATGTAGGTCATGTTCGTACCCGTCTGACAGCCATTCTGCCCAGAAGCAAGAGCAGCCATTCTTGAACTTCTTAATTGGCGTGTGGGTTTACCGGTGTCTCTCTCTCTCCTCTGCCTTACAATTGGCTGCTTCGGACTAAGTACTAACTAGAAAGACTGGCTGTGGAGGACAAGCAGCCAGCTCACGAAATACAAATATACCAAGGATGCCCGTCGAGATGGGGTCACGGGAGCCATCAAGGCCCTGGAAACCTGCAAGCTACTGTTGCTAAATTGCTAGAACCGGTTGCGGCTGCTGAAATTGTAGGTGCGATAGTGATTTGTATAACTTAAATCTTTAGCACAATAAGAAGTTTTATTGTACTATCATAACATAGGAGATCTGGGGGTACAATACATGTGTGTCTTTACATTCAAAGGAAGGGAAGGTTCGTTTCAGAAGCTAAATTTGCAATTGATATTCTTTTTTAAAGAATATTCAGTTGCAGACCAAACGTACTATATTAGAACAGATCACATATAGCATTGCTGGAGCAGAAGCTCAATTTCCTATCACAAAACAGATCACCTTGACAGTAACTAATATTGTCTGCAACACAGTGCATAATGTCTGCCCAAGGTCTGTACTGCAAATTTTAATAAATAGAATTTCAGAACAACTTCACTTCTGACTTTTGTTAAAAAAAGATAGTAGTATTTGTCTTTTTTTTCGATCATAGTATTATCTCTCTCTAGAGCTCAGGGAGATCAAAGACACCAGGCGCATCAATATGCATTATAATTAAACTTTCCGGAATATCTCCAACTAGGACTGCAGACTCATCAAGAGTTTTGCTGTTCTCTAGTATCCTTCCATGATTCCATCATAGATGAGTTTCACGTCATTATTAGTTTTTGGGCCTATTTCTTTATCTATCAACATAGATGAAAAATACTAGTGGTATCAACACAGATACATAATGTAGGATTGAAATACGGCAGTAGCTAGACAAAACAATAGTATTCATAGGATGTTGAAATCCCCCTGAAATATAGTTAATTATGTTGGTTTGACTTAGCTTAGAAAGCATGCTCCGATGCTGTTGCATTAAAGAGTCATTCTTCCCTTTTAGTACTCTTTAGCTAATACAATCTAGAGCTTGTTGTCACCTCTGAATTCTTTCCCGATTCCAACCTACTACAGTTTATCATCACTGAAAGTAAACAAGGGCTCATTTGCACAAAATCAATTTCATAATATTTGCTTGTCGAATTGCCAGACAAATATGGTAGAAAATGGTTATGCAGCCAAACAGATGTGTCTTTTCTATTGCTGGTACTTTCATGTGAGTACGTGTTGTGATCACTGGTCAAGCACAAAACTATTGGTCTTTCTAGCATGAGAGATACTAAAACATTGTGCAAACTTGACATAAGAGTAATAGGATCATGCATTAGCTTAGCAGAACTGAGCAGTTGCTCCAAACATACAACTATGATCCTCATAAATATGAAAGCAACATAAGTCTCACTCCATTCATTAGAGTTTGGTCTGATGCGTTTTCAATAATACTTAATGATGGACTAAGCTTGTCAAGTGGTTTCTTGATTACATGTCTTTTAAGCAAGCAGCTAGTAGGATTATCTCAACTTCTGATTCTTCACTTGCGTCAGACTGCTGGAGCATTACTAAAATGGCTTTGTCAGCCTTTAATTTTCTTCCACAGGATTAAGATCACCTTGGATATTTGTCAAAAAAAAAAAGATCACCTTGGACTTTGGCAATCTCTGTGTAGTAATTTACTATCAAATGAATTGTGATACATAAATTTATGTAGTAAAGCAATATATTTTTGTGTATACCTGCGTAATGCCTATGAGCGATAGGTTACTACATAAACTATATTTTGAGTAAAAACGATACTTGATAGAAGTAGACTTGGTCCACTGTTCTATAGGCTATTATTAGTACGCAATGTTGCAGCGGGACGTTCACCATTTTGCTCTGAAACCAATTGTTTTATGTTTCAACTATGGCAGGAATTTCAATTTACTTGTAGGTCTAGGTGATAGGTCTCACTTGCTTGTTAGTGATAATCTTTAGCATTGTGTTTGTGGAATTGTGGCCAGCCATAGCACCACAGCGTCAAGCCTGACACGTGCGGCAGTGCTAGACTCTGAAACTCAAAGGATAAAGGATGACAGCAATTTGCACCACGGATTTGGTGTGAAGAGATTTTCTCCAAGAATTGATCCATTGATGCTATGAGCACCAGTATCGTACACTACAAAGATAGGCAATCAGATATTGAGCACTGAAACTTTTGTAATCCCCTACCTTTTGCTATCGGTGTGACACTGACACATAGGGCTCACCTGTAGCAAAGACAGGATTTAGGCAATTTGCAATGGATGACGATAATTTTCCCTGAGGACCTTTGAACTGTGTTTTCATGGATTTAGGCAATTTGCAATGGTTTTAGGCAATTTCCAATGGATCCCTAACCCTGTGTTTCATTTGTGAACAATAAGAACTTTCTCATGGAGCCAAGTGGTTATGCATTTTCAGCCATGCCTGGTCACTATTTCTAAGTTTCATTTGAGTGTCTCCAATGTCCAAATCATGGCACCATAGTAGTTTTGAGCCTTGGCATTTGCACTTGTAACCATTTGGTTGTGTTTTCTGCAGAGACCCCACAGGTCCAACCTCCGCCACCACCTACCGAAGGGCGTTTTGAGATCATTATCAACAATGACACCATCCGAACACTCGACCTATCGCCGGTTCAAGAAGCACTTGGTGACTTGAGTTCCTTAACAGCAGGTTCACAATCATATCTAGCGCACCATACCATTAGATTCAACTGGCATTCACGAGTTTGTGATCTGACAAGAACTTTATGTGTATTGCTCAGCTGATTCAAGAACCCTGTTGGATCGAACCGTTGGGTTTACCATTAACTACGAGAGAGAGGATGAGTACGACACGCGTGAGCTGTCAGAGTTCCCTGACATCCGGCTGTGGTTTGTGAGGCTTGACGCTGCTTACCCTTGGTTCCCGGTTGTACTTGACTGGAGAGCTGGTGAGCTTGCCAGATACACTGCAATGCTTGTCCCTCACCAGGTAATTTCAGAGAAAAAAGTAGTTTTATGCACCCTTTAAAAAAATTACAGTGTACAAAAATGTTTTGTGGATGGATGATCTGCAGATGAGCATGCGAATGGGTGTGGTCTTCAACCCGGAGGCGCTGGAGCTGTTCGTGATGAAGAAAGTGTTTGCTGTGGAGACTTGGCTGAAGCAGCAAAACCATCCGAAGCCGAGGTTGAAGACGGCAGACATGGCCAGGATGCTCGGTTTCGGTGTTGGAGACGAGCTGTTCCACTTGATCGAGAAATACCCTGTCCATCGTTCGTGATGAAATATACAAAGCTGAAAATGGGGATCCGATCCCACACAGAATCAGTTACAGAATTGTACAGAAAGGCACGTTTGCTTTCTTCCAGGAGCTTGATGCTGTCGTGTTGCTCGTGGCCTTTTCCCTCTGTTGTACTCAGCTGCAGCAAACGAGAGCCGGTGCCGGGCTCATGCGACCTAGCTTGTCTCTGCTTTAGAAAATAATAACAGTGTCGTCTACAGTGGGACGATTGTTACAAGTCTATGGATGGTAAAACGAAATTGGGTATAATGGTCTACCCGGCCCACGAATTGCTTTGTCATCTTTTGGTGTAGAATGAATTTGCTTTTGCAGAAATAAAACATACGATTCTGAAAGGAAATCGTTTATATACTGGACAAAAAAATAAAGAAAATCGTTCCCAGGCGGACGACTTTGAAATGTGGTTCCTCCAGTGCACGATTTCTGGATTGTCTTTCTTCAGGGATAGGGAGGACGACTTTATGTTGACCAGCGTGACTTTTCAATTTTGTTTGACCAAAAAGTGAAATTTGTGTTAGGACAAAAAAAAAAGAGAGAAGAAATTTAATATATATCTGTCAGCAGATTTTCTTCTTTTCTATCGGTCAGATTCTGGGCCGTTTATTTTATTTGAAGATTCGTGCTTTCCTCTGGGCGGACTGTTTGAAAGATTTGTTCTGCAGATTTTGACTAATAAAAAGATGACAACTCAGAAAAAAAACTAACTTTGTCTGCTAGGTTCAAAAACTTTGAACTATCACATTATAAGCTTTGTACTGTCAGGTTCAAAACTTTACACTCAGAATTTATAAACTTTCAACTATGACATTACAAACTTTTTACTGCTAGGTTAAAAACTTTGAACTATCTAATTATAAACTCTGTGCTGCTAGATTCAAAATTTTACACTCAGGGGTCATAAATTTTGAACTATGACATTACAAACTTTATACTTAAACTATGCTGTTAGGTTCAAAACTTTACACTCGGGATTCATAAACTTTTAACTATGACATTACGAACTTTACACTGCTAGATTCAAAACTTTAAACTATAACATTATAAACTTTGTACTGCAATATTCAAAACTCAAACAAGCAGGTTTCCAAACCCGTGAGCTGTCGGTCCAAATTCAATAGATATAAAACCAACAAAACTGTTGACAGATTTATGCATATTATTTGTCAGATTTTCTTTTGGTGAGCTGTCTTCTTTTTGATTGGCCAAAAATCTGATAGATTACTGTAGGGACCTCCCCCCACAGTTTTTGCCATAAAAAAATCTGACAAATTTTGGCAAAAGAAACCTGTCACTAGATTGCTAGACAGACCCAAAAGAGAAATGTATTTCATTGTCTTTTAAAATTGTTTAGGCCTTACCTCTACATTCCAAATTATAAGTCATTTTAGTTTTTTCTAGATACATAATCTTTATTATGCACCTAGATATACTCTGGCTCGATACACAGCAAAAAACTATGAATCTAAAAGCTAAAACGACTTATAATTTGGAATGGAGGGACTCACATAGATAGTTTTGTTGCCGGTCCTCTACCGCTGAAAGAATAATGTCGTTAAAATCTAGACTAAATCTAGAAAAACACAAGCACCCATGTTAAGTCGAGGATGTAAGAACCTTGATGGCTACGAGAGGGTGGATTGAATTAGGCTTTCTAAAAAGTACTTGGCCTCTATTTCTACTTAACAAAATCTATGCAAGATTTCTATCTAAACATGGACTACAATTTTGTTAGGTGTTATTATCTCTATCGCAAAATTTTTTTGCACCACAGACCTATAACTAATTAACCTAGCAAGCTAGATTAGGAATATAAAGCACGCAACCTAGGTAAGCAATGTAACTGTGGAAGCTAAACAAGTAGAGAATGTAAACTTCCGTTAACGAAGTATTTTTTTCTAAGATATTGAGAAGCTCACGCTTCCTCGTAGTCCTCGTCAGAGCCCCTTGCAAGGATGTTGTTGGTATATTTTAGCGCACACAGATAAATCCGTAAGCGCACGGATACCACTGTAGCTTTCACCCGGAAGTATTCCAAGTATCGTATCCACTTTTGTCTTGGGTCAACTTTCGTAGGTGTCGCAGGTAGAATCACTTGTTGTTGTTGGTTTGCTCGTTTGGAGTGTATGACAGTAGTCCCGAGAGCTGTTTTCTGGATAAATCCTTCTGCAGTCATGAAATCACCAAAGCTCGTGGAATTCATTAGTTTAAACCCATAAACCTTCATTGGTGATTACATTTATGTCCTTATACATTTTTAATTGACGGTTTATAATAGTTGTTAACTACCGTCAATAACTTCCCCAAGCTTAACCTTTGCTAGTCCTTTAGCAAAGCTAAACTCAACAATGGATCAGGAGTTGCTACAATATTTTCTCGCCTCAAAAGTACACATGCATTCAAACAAGAAGTCTCCTCCAGATTAGAATAAACTGATCTGACTTTCAAACTTACCCGTATTATCTTCAACTATAGGGCTTCTCAGCCTTCATTTGGGTCTTGAGCAATTGAATGATAGAACGATCAAGTCAAGCACTATGTCTCAAATTTCTTTGTTCCACCACTGTTCCGGAGTTTTTATAGGTTTTCAAAATAAAACTAAGAGATTCCATTGTATGACAATCTCGAGTCTCTCAATATATATGGTATTTGTGGATCCTCACCAAGGCAATAAAGATATTATGCCTTTTTTCCTACCACTAAGGCTTTATATGGAGTTCATAGGTAGGGAGAAAGCTAGAAAATACTTGTAATGCATATATTGTAAAGTCAAACAACGGATCCAAAAAGAGTTGAGTCATACAATCAAATCAAGATGTGCATGTGTGTGGATATATGGTGGATATATATGGTGGCTAATCTAATTCTACTATGTTCCTTGAAAATATATCTCTCATTTGAAACTTAGAAACATTTGCTAGAGAACAGGGGCTATCTTATTCATCTCTTCTCTTTTTTTTCAGACGGGCATCTGAGTACCCATTGTTTTAAATATCTCGGACACTTTTGTATCCATTTTTTCTCATCATCATTGTTTTTTATTTTCTCTCTTTTTTTATAAATAACTTTTACATAGTCCCATGCCTTTTTTTGCAACAAAACTTTGAGAGATAGCAACAAGAATTTGGAGCATTTATTTGGTGAATGAAAAACCTATCAAGCATGTTTTTTGTGTTCACTCCTTGTGTAGGAGTAGAACATTTTTGGGTGGATTTAGATGGAAGGCATATATCTGCGCCTACCCCCGGTGTAGGAGTAGTGCATATTTGTGTGGTTTGTACGTGATCTTGATTTTAAGAGCATGACAAACCTCTCATAAAGGTCAACAAAGCTTGACAAAACTCAATGCAAAAGCAAGCAACATATATGTAGAAGTTTTTCTAGCCTAAAGAACATGTATGGCTCTGGTGGGAATTCAAACTTTGTCATACAGGAACTCATCATATAGCATTTTTTGTTTTTCAAAGTTAAATCTCTAGAATTTTAGTGTCACTAGGAGCAAGATAAACAACAACTCAGACCTTCTCATATCATATCCATCAATTACCTAGACTTATATCAAGCATTCGGTACCCACGAGTTTCAAGTTTAGAGTAAATCTTTATATCAAATCAGTCATATCCAAAATTCAGGAGAATTCAAGACTGAAAACTAGGTACTTGAAAGGAATTACAACAGAGCAACTATTAATCATTTCCATTTAAGAGATTATTCTAAGTCCTCTTTATTTTATTTAGCTCTTAAAAATAAATTAAAACAAACTAGACACACCTTTTTATTTTGTTTTCAATTTTACTAGTTCACACATTATTACTATAACTATATATATTTATTATATAGATAACTTTTTATTTTGTTTTTTCATTCACCATTTTTTAAATATGAAAGAAACTAAAAACTAAAACAAAGGGGAAAGAAGACTTACCTGGATATGCGGAGGTGCTTCTCCCCAAGCTAGCTCTTTCGGTGAGGGTTCGATATTGTAAGTCCTTCGAACCGGATTTCTCCTTGTGAAGTTCATTGATCAAGTACCTTAATTTGCTCTGAAGATGAGAATTCTTGTTATGAAGTCTCCAATGGTAATGTCATCTTTTTCTACCAAACCTGTCTTGATTCTGAGTTTTGATTTTGGTTTGACAGGTTCAGAACTTTTACTTGTAGAAATTGGGGGATCGATTAACTTTCCCACACTTTGCTTAAAGTGTGTCCTGCTCATAAGACAAAGTAGAGATCAAGTGCATTGAACAAGATAAAGTTGATGTTATGTGCTTTGTTCATTTATATCATGGGTGATAAGATCAGAAGATTGTGCATGAATGTAGCATTTAAGTATATTTGGCAGAAAAGATTGAGTTGCTTAACCTACTGTTTACACCAAAATTTGGGAAGAGGAATGCGAGAATTCGAAGCTCCCAAAGATCGTGTCATCAAGGAATCAATCGCATAAGGATCGATATCAGCTGATTCAAATGCGGCACCAGAATCGGCTCTCTTCGAATGACGTCAGCAGATAACGACAATGAGCTATGGTTGGCGTCGGGGAAAATATGTCGGACTCTACAAAAAGGGAAAGATTAGGGTCCAAGTTATCTTAAATTAGGAATGTTTTATTCTATACCAAAGATTGAAATGAGTCGTACTTAAGTAGGATTCATACTTGGGCTCCGGGTATAAATATTGGACCCCGGCTATTATAAAAGACATCCAATCACTCAAATACAATTTACCTTTTTTTTTGGCTCCGCCAACCCTTAGGAGTAGGAGTAGAGTAGATTTCGGTGAGTCTTCAGCAAGCAGGGCTGCATCGGTCCGACTGACCTCCGGTTTGTCTGTAAGTATCATCATGGCTTATACTTTGGTTTGTATGGCTGCATCGATCCGGTCGACCTCCACTACAAACTCTAGTATAAGCTAGTTATCGACTCTTATCTAGTTCAAGTATGGCTGCATCGATCCGGTCGACCTCCACTCCTCGAACTAGA